TGAGCTGCCCCCCCCCCCCACCCCAGCCCCCACTCTTTAAGGTGATGGGTTAAAGGCAGAGGTCATGTGAGGTTGTGTGCAGTCGTGTGCCGTGTCATAATGACAATAAATTACTTTACTTTCACCTTTAACTGCCCAGCACAGCTAAAGGAACACAGATTAGATTATGCCTCTAACACAGCTTTGAAAACATTAATGTCTTAACCACACTATACCAGCACCTGTTACTGCACTTTGTTGCCCGAGGACCCAGGGTGATAAATCTAGAGTGGGGTATTTATTTAAAAAAAAAAACACAGACTGCACAGACCAGATGAACAGGAAAAAAAACTAACAGCTAAGGTTCAGCTGTGGATTTAAGTCAGTCACTTGGGATGAGTGACTAAACTAAAGTACTAATTCTAATCCTATTTTATTTGTATGCATTTTGTGTTAATGTTCTTGACACTGACTGTATAGATCAGAACTGGTCAAACTACGGCCCATGGGCCAGAATACTGCTCGCTGGACTTTCAAACCCTGGTACAAGGTCTGGTAAAGACTTGACTGTCAATCCTGTTTCATGTTTTCATTACAATGAATCAACTGTAATTTATTTTACGAGTAACATCAATGTTTGCCCAACGCTGATATTTACACAGGGTCCACATGGAGGGGGGGGGGGGGTGAGGGGGCAAGGGTATGAAGATCAGCAGTTGGAGAGCCAGTAATAACTGGTGGTTTTTCTGAATGGAGTTTGTGTGTTCTCCGTGTGTGTCTGGGTTTTTACTACAGTGATTGGGTTCAGGAATTGGGGTAATTGTTTAACTGTAACTGTTTACATGTGGCCCTGTGAGGGACTTGTACCCAGTCAGGGAGACTTTGCCAGATATAGTCAAATGCGGACACAACGAAACTCAGAGTCAGGGAGACTTTGCCAGATATTACCCATGATTTGATGATGATTTGGTTAAAGTTCCTAACCTCAGTTGCAGTCAGTCAAATATTTGTGAATTTGGAAGTCAAATGCGGACACAACGAAACTCAGTTTAAACTAATTACTGCATAAACTGTAGAATCCTTTCTGCTAGTGTTTTCAAAAATATAAGGAAAGGGGCGGGGGTCCTGGAATCACCTGCTTCGACCTCTGGAAGCTGTTTTCCCCAGAGGCAACAGGTTGTTGGGAAACACTTGATATCAACAGCTGGTTACACATTGACTGAAAGGCTAGCTACACATTGCACCACCTGGCGCCATAAACTCTACCAATATACACTCACAACGGCTACAAACACATACCGTTGGTTCGACTGTCACCTTCACGTGGTGGAGGGACTCGGTTATTTAGCCGCTGTATTGTGTATGTTTCTGGTTTTAATAATGTGTCGTTTTCTGTTAGCATGCTAACGGTCGTCACTCTGCTAGCTTCAGCCGCCGGGTTATCGGCTCTTACTAAATTTGGATCTACACACGTGTTGTTATCACACGGGACTTATTTAGTCCACACGAACACACACGCACTCTCATTCATAGCAACACGATATCACGTACACACACTCCCACGGCCGCCAGTGCAGGTGCTCGTTACCGTTGTCATGAATGGTCATCCCAATGGTTCCTCCGGTGTTGATAACCAGAACTCTCGCCTCATCCGATGGTGATCTCACGGACACAACGGACTCCACCGAGTTACAGCTGGATAACTTTCTCCTCCGGCACGGCTGCACCTGGCCGCTGCGCGTCGGGGAGAAGTCGTTGCCCTCAGCCAGCTCCAGTTTAGGCTGTGATAACGCCCGGGCCAGAGAGGTCAGGTTATTAAAGCTGGAATCCGCCATGATGACCCAGAGAGACGGTAAAAGAACAGAGCCGGTGTGACGTCCCTCAAGAGACGCTTCGCTGTGATCACTGTGGTTCTCAAGTTGTGTCAGCGGCCTGAGGCACGGAACACTCTCTGTGGTTTAACATTCAGATGAGGAGAAGCTCCCATTACAATCGTGCAACAATGGGCGGAACCGCCGCCGTTCGTATAATTCCAGTGTTTACAAAAATAACTGGGCTACGCTCTGTTTGAAATCAGTCCTGCCCTTGAAACGCTGATGGACAACCATGACGTCGACGTCCCCTACGACGTCAGCGACACGGGGGCGTGGCCTCACATTCAATGGATGCCTCGCCTGTCCACCCTCACAGCTATTGTCAATTCTACATAAGATGATAATAAAGATGATTAAAAAAAATGTACAATTTTACAGTAGGACGAAGTATTCTTTTTTTAACTTTCACCTCAAATGTATCCCGTGACTTAATAAAAATATTTTACTGTTGAACAAAGGTGGCTTTTCCTCTTCCTTATCGTTGTTGCTTTTACTTATCAAAGTGCACCACTGACCAAATTCCAAATATGTAGTAATAAACTTTACAAACCTAATCTACTGCATTCTTTTACACTGAATCAGGTCTATTTCTACAGCCTTAATTTGAAATAAACATTTTAACCTGTGTTCTCTGTGTAGCCTGTAGTACAAGGGAAATACAAAACCTCTATAACAATACAAAATTAGGTCGGAAGAATTATGGCAAGATTCAAGGATTCAAGGAGTTTATTTGTCAGTCAACACATGTTAAAAACATGAGGCGGAATGAAATCTGTTACTTGAACAATAAAAGAGAAAATACATAAAATACTAGACTATTTTAAGATAACAGTGAGTCATCTGGATGTTTTACATTAAACACTGATAGAATATAAATAATTCTACATTAATATTAATCATTAAGTGGATATAAGTTAGCGACTGGATCTATATGTTTCATGCCAAATCAGTGAGACCGATGGTTGTATTTCCATTAAGACACATGACTGGGGTCAGTGTCAGGCCTTGCTGAAGCAGAGGATCTGCATTAATTCCCCCCTTGTCCTTGTCTGTCGTCCTACAAATCTCCTTGGCATCTTGTTTTCTCTCACCTAGCATCACCAAGATGCACCAAAACCAATGGAGCAAACAACAGATAAACAACTCATTATAAATGTTCAATAAAAAGGTGTGTTACAGTTAGTATTTACAGCAGTGTCAAGGATCAAAAGTGTCATTCCACTGGTGATCTTGCAGTGAGGTGTCTCTATATTGATTCAGGATGTGTCATATACCCAAATGACCAATTTTACAGTTTAAAGGCCACAGGGGAAGGGAGGGAAGGGAGGGGAGGAGAGGCACACCTGTGGAACACAAATTATGCACACAAGCGTCACAGAGAATTGTCAAATGGCGGCTTCTTTGTAAAGAGTTTCAGTATGGTCATTACACTTAACCAATAAGTCATTTGGTCAACAAAGGACAGTGAACAAATAAATGAATAATCTCCTAATATATATATATATATCCATTATTTTGGTAAATACGCATCCAATGCAACCTGCTCCTTATAGTATTTTCCTGTTTGTTCCTAGCGACTGGAGTAAACTTAAGTTTAAGTTTAAGTTTAAGAGTAAATAAGTCTCTTTTCCCAATTACAGCACACTTGTCAGACATGTAACAAACAGTACTTCTGTTTTGTGGATGTATTATCAATTACCTTTGTTTGTTTTGGAGAGAATATATGTTGCTATAAGGGAAACCTTTACTAAATGAAATTTGTTTTTTTACAACCAAAGGTCACTCATACCAAATGTATACGGACGAGAACCTCACCTGTGGGAATCCTTGGACTAACTTTTAGCAGTCTGCAGCTGCCAACAGAGGGCAGTGTTGGCCTTCCGATCCTCAGTCCTAAATGGAGATAATAAATACAAACATTTTACTCATACAAGGCTTTCACATCAGGAAGCGAATAAAAAGCACTCTCCTATTATATAAGATGACCCCACGGAGACCTATACTATATCCGCCTGTTAAAACTGACGACGGGCATAGTTTATTACCAAGCACGGGTTTATATTGTCAAACTAACTGCGGTTACAAATAATATTCAATTATAAATAGATACATGGTGTAAACAGACACGTGTTTAAAGACAGTTGGTGTTAGTTTTTTTCTCTTTTCTGTTTAGCCTGGGAGTAGTGGTTGTGATGTGAATAGGCAGTGAGTGGGAGCTGCAACTGAATGAAACCGACAGGAGGAAGTAGCGATTAATGCAGCTCCACACCTTTCCGGTGTAGCAGCACTGCGACCAGCTCGACTTAACAGAGAAAGCCGAGAGCTGGTACATTAACCCAGCCAAGAAGGGATATAAGAGGTAAATACTCATATTTTAATTAAGATTCTAATTCTAGAATGTGTGAGTCAGACATTAAGTCAACGTCGTTTGTATTTTTCCTGCTTTACAAATAATTAGTCTTTGGCGGCTAACTGCAGCTAGCAGGGTTAGCTTTGATTAGCCTCTTAGCCATGAGCAGCCATGAGCAGAAGACTTTAGCAGATGCTAATATGGCATGTCTGACCCTCCCTCTAAAATCTTTTTTCAGGGAGACAAGAAGTGGAGTTTTGTGTTCGTGTGCAGGTGCTACCTACCCCCCAAGGGTCTCCAGATCTTCTTCGGCGTCGTCGTATTCAGTGCGGCAAAGTTAGCCGCCGGGACACTTAATGGAATAACCGCAGAAAGCTGCTTTTCTTGCTCGTGTGGCGGTGAAGAGAACAAGGGCGCACCCGGTGACGAGGACCGCTACTTCCACAGAGGGACTTTTTGATTAGCAGGCTTTTTGCGGGCCGCGTGTTCACATCACAACGTGTTCTGTAGTTTTAAACTCAACCAGGGCCCGCGTTTGCCACGCAGCTTTGTGAAGATTTGAGCGACACAATGAAAGCCAGTCAACAGCTGTTGGCAAGCTCTTAGTTTAACCGTGCCATGTTGTGTGCGGGTCTTGGAATCACAGTGGTCTGTTGAACACCTCACAGGATTCCCACCAGTTGAAGGACATCAGTGCTGTTAGGTTCAAACATGATTGTATGCTTTTGACCATTTTACCCTCCAAAGCTCTCAGAGTTGACTACTAGGCTGAGCCTGAGTTGTATTGAACATTCAAAAGCCAACCAAATAGACATTTGTTTTTCTTGTGGGAAGCAAAGTATTTATGCACAATAGTTCAAAATGGGGAAAATGCTTTCAAAAATCTTTGGCAACAAAGAGATGAGAATATTGATGCTTGGACTAGATGCTGCAGGAAAGACAACAATCCTTTACAAACTGAAACTGGGTCAGTCTGTCACTACAATCCCCACTGTTGGCTTCAATGTGGAGACTGTCACCTACAAAAACGTCAAGTTCAACGTGTGGGATGTTGGTGGCCAGGATAAGATTCGCCCTCTTTGGCGGCACTACTACACAGGCACCCAGGGGTTAATTTTCGTGGTGGATTGTGCAGACAGGGATCGCATCGATGAGGCCAGACAGGAACTTCACCGCATCATCAATGATCGGGAGATGAGGGATGCCATCATCTTGATATTTGCCAACAAGCAAGACCTTCCAGATGCCATGAAGCCACATGAAATCCAGGAGAAGCTCGGCTTGACCCGCATCCGAGATAGGAATTGGTATGTTCAGCCCTCCTGTGCGACTACAGGTGATGGACTGTATGAGGGCCTCACATGGCTAACTTCAAATTACAAATCTTAATGATTGAGTGCTGACTGTTTTAGGTCAATACTATAATAAAGTTGCAAGTAACAAATAACTTCTCAAAATGAGTATGGTTAAGGAAAAAAAGTTGATTATCTCCCATTTATTTTTTAATATCTTGATGACTAATTTATCTTTAACTGGGTTTTTTCTGGCTACAACTTTGCTTGTAATCTGTAGCCAGCTTAGATCATATCCATTATTTTCGGGGCTTGCTTGATGAATATCTTATTAAACCGGTCCAAATGTTAAAGCCACAGATTTCACCGCATTTGCCTGATTCTTTTTCCTGTTTTAAATAATTTTTCTAATGAAGCTGGAGTTTTTAATTGTTCTGGAACTACAGCTTTTTGCAATGTCCTTCAGTTCACTCTGTTGTAATTGAACTCGGTTCTTTGGTTTCCTCTGAGGTGCGACTATGTAGCTTTCTTGGAAAGACTTGGACACAGTGCTGTGTGTGATGAAAAGTGGTATTGACGGAAGCAAGGGTGGAAAAAAAAAAAAACACCATCGAGTAGATTTCATTGTTGGCCATTTCAACACCAAAGGTGGGGGGGAGAAAAAAAAAATCACTTCTGGTGTGTTTAGTTTCCCTTCCCAATCCCTCTATGTGGGTTCTGTAGTTACCTGATTGACCTGTGTCATGTCTTCTAATAGTGCTCAATATACAACACATAGGCCTCCATTAACTCTTTAACACGCTTGTTGGGATGCATTTGAAAACCTGGGCAACGTCATGAAGTCGAATCAATCTTCACAAAGGAATGTGTATTCAGCTCTGAGCTCTCTCACTCGGATAGTCAGCCTGACAGTTGATTAGTCTCAGTATTGGGACATTATATGATAGCCTATATCTGTAGCATGAGTACGAAAGTACAGTAACCCTACATCAGAGTCCATCTGTTATGCAGTCAGAGGGAGCTGTGTCATGGTGAAATGTTGAATGTCACCCTGAGTTTGCAGCTCTTCCTTTTATTTTGACTGGGGGGGAACCATGTACAGAATGATGTCATTGTAATGTCTTATTAAAAAAAAGTGATTTTAAATTTGTTCTGCCTCTGTTTTTTTTTTAACAGAAAAAGTGTAATATTTAAGACGAGATAACCAAACTTAAAACGTCCTCTGTGAGCGGTTTATAGCCCACCCTCTGTTTCATTGCTGCTAAAATATATGAAAAAAAACAGGAAGTCCTTTTGCTGGTGTGTGGAAAAACAACATACCCACACAAGGCTTTCATGAGACCGGGCGGCCTGGGGAGATTAACAGCTGAATTGTCAATGATTTTAAATGTTTGTGGTGGCCAACTGTCGCTGAGCTGATGTTGAGCTGTTGGCTGGAACTTCCTGACATTCATATCTGTTGCAATCAGCTAGCTGTTGGCTGGAACTTTCTGACATTCATATCTGTTGCAATCAGCTACAGAAATGAGCTTCAATTGTTAGTTTCTTTTAATGAGGTGAATTTCAAATGATAACTGTTGGTCTAGAGATCACCGCAGTAAACACAGAATGAAACTCCAATTTAAATCATAGGCATAGGCTTTAACCAGTAGTTGAAACTAGAAAGCCATAACTGCTGGTAGAAGCACTAAATAAAACTATGTTAAAAATCTGGAAGGAAAAAAGTGAATCATCTGTGTTGCACCAACCAAAGCCAAAAGCAGTGTCTTTGGCTGTTGTCTTGTTTCCTCTTTTGTGTATTTTTCTGCCACAGTCCAACAGTTATTTCCATAATTTCTTTTTCATTGAAATGAAAAGCAAAAGTATTTTTCCATTGAAACTGAACTGAAACTTGTACTGACTTTTGTTTCTGAGAAGAATGTGACAGTTTGTCATCATGACTTCTTTTTTTTTAACAGCAAAGACAGGTCGTGACAAATGTGTAGGCCTACAGTAATGTTCTGTAGCTTTTTATGATCATTTTTAATTAAAAGTTTTCCCCAAAGCTACAGTCTGCGTCTGTTTCGGTCATCAACGGATCAACTGTCTGTGTGAGCTGTTCAACAACAATAGCAACAGGCTTTGCATTTTTTGTCTGTGTGTGTTTGCGAGAATGACATGAACTTCCTGTGTCTCTCACGCAGGCTTTGCCGCCTTTGTTGGCGATCAGATGCTGTATCCTTGTGTAAGACACACATGGTTGGCAGTTTAGTATTGTTGGCATTTGCATAGTGGAAACACTGGCGCTGAACAAGTTGCTGCTGAGGCCCTGGGATGTTTGCTTTAGCACCACAGAGGTTTGTGTCAGACAGGTCAAGTGACAGACAACGGTATTGCATCGGACAATATAATATATAAGATGGTTCACACCATTTAAACTATCAGGAAGGAGAAGTTCAGTGTGTGATCTACAAACGATCCGCAACTAGAGATGGTACCCAGGCTTGGTTACAGGCCTCTATTGGACACTGATGGCAGTTTAATTGGGTTTCGACGGTCGTTCTGGCTCCCAGCACTTCATTACAGTCATGTGACCGTCACTGCTTTATTGGTCACACCAGTGCCCCCTGGGTAAATTCCTTACACTTCCTGAGTGAGGAGGTCATGGAAGGTCTCTAAGGCAAACTCAGTGGCCAAAAGCGCCCCCTACGCCCTACATAGTGCACTACAAACTCAGTGGCCAAAACCGCCCCCTACGCCCTACATAGTGCACTACATGGGAGGCACGCTGTTTTACCCAAGCGATATGTCCCATCATGCACTGCAGTTGTCATGACTTAATTCAATGTTTTAATTGTGCAACAGTAATGACCTAATTTTAAAAGTTTTTCATTTAACTGGTGTGTTCACTTTGTAATACACTATATATAATTCCCTACAGAGGAAGTAGGGAATGAGTGAGTGATTCTGAAACAGCATTGAAAAGATGAGTTTATAACCAGGAACTGTACTTGAAAACAGCAACTCAACATCCAGCCTCTGATACAGTTTTTCACCACAGCTGGCTGCACAGCGGTCAGCCGGTGCGGCGTGTTTACCTACATCAGTTCAGAGTCTCTTTGCCCTCATCGGTGGTTTATTTGAGCAGGTCAACAACATCAGCAGTTTAGAAGTATTTCAACATCAGGGACAAAGACGGGAGCGAGACTTACCATAAGTTTTGTTTTGTCGTGATGTTGGCACCGTGTGCTAATGTCCCTTCTCCATTTAACAGCACAGACGAGGTGGAAAGATGAGGCGTTTACACTTCGTCTGGTCAATTTTTGGTTCAGAGTTATTTTGTGTTAAAGCTCCGCTCACTTTCCGGACAGTTGGATGCTTCAATTATTTTATTCTCAAATTTTTCCTCTTAGTGTGAGTGATTTTAGACTTTATTGATCCTTTACGTGTACCTGTACTTTATTGAATTACAGGGAAAAATATTTTATACTCCCCGTCGGGGAATCGAACCCCGGTCTCCCGCGTGACAGGCGGGGATACTTACCACTATACTAACGAGGAGATGTTTCACTGTTTAATGTGAGGACTTTTTATCCAAAAAGAAAAATAATGTTCCCTCCAAAATAACTGACTGTAGGTGTTGAACTGCTCTGTGTCCTCACTGTAGTTTGGTCTTCAGTCATACCACCAACATCAGCGGTCCCCGACCTTTTTTGGCCCGGTACCAAATGACCTACGGACTGGCGGGTTGGGGACCCCTGACCTACATAAAACCCCTCTTCAGTTCTTGTGTATTTATTGAGACCCAACTCAAACAAGTACTGGTTAAGGCAAACAGATTTGGAAATTAAACTACTCTGTTTGTTTCAGTTTGTGAAATTCTATATGTCCCAGGACAGTCCTACATGTAACCATTCAGAGTTTAAAAACGTCTGACCTACAAGTGTGAAGGCAGTGGTTGAACCAGTGGAATCCTGTCTAGTCATTCTGCTCCACTCTGTTTGCACCATTGTGACTCTATTGTGAGTATAAGTTACCATGACTCCAGTCCTCCCTCTAATCCCTGGGCCGTCAGTTCAACTGCATTATTTTTTCCACTCACTATCGTAGATCATATACACAACTGCACCGACCTGTTCTCAGTACTATTTCACTCCATTGTGTCAGATTACTCCCTGCATTTAACCCATTTGTGAAACACCTGCTCTCCTGGAGCTGCTCTCCTGACAACGACTGAGGGAACGGGGCAGTTTTTAATGCTTGTGCAACACATGGACACAAAGCCTGGATTTAACATGGCAATCCTCACATTACAAGTCAGAGTCTTTCATCACCAGTGGCCGCCCTGTGGTCCATTGGGTTTACGTCATTTCAACAGGAACATTAGGACGAGTTTTGTTGTAATAATCTTCTTCATCTCAGTCTTTGATGCACAGGTTTTTTTTTAGCCTTGACACGGTCCACTTTAGTGATATTCCTGCGACCTGTCCTCATATAACTATGGGACGATCATGCTGTCAGTCAGTTTGTTTTTTACCTTGTGATGGACTAGCCAATCAGGGTGAACCTGACCAATTCAAACTCTAATGATGACAGTTCTGCAGCATGTACCTATGACAATAACCTGACAGGATCTCCAAGGTACACTCAAGACCAGTGGTTTTCAAAGTGGGGTCTTGGGAATTTGGATGGAAGATAAGAAAAAAAGGGAGAAAAAAATAATTTATATATATATAAAACCATTTGTCATGAACTGTACTACATATAATCAACCATAATTATTGGATTCTCAAGTTTGCAATGGTACCTGAACACACCTCGGGTGGAAGCTGCAGCTGCAGCTGCAGCTTCAGCACGATCTTTGTAAAGCTGGTGGTTTGTGGCTGTTATCAGCTGCTCTGCTCGTTAAGTTGGCACATGGTTAGCTTGTGTAAAATGGGCAGGTCGTTGACAAGAAAAAGACTGAAAGATCAGACCAACAAGGAAAACATGTCTTATTCTAAACAAATATAACTATTATTGAATAGTGAATAAAAGTTTAAAAAAATACATTCTAAAAGTTAATGGTTTTTTTACATAGTTTCTAGCGTTGTCTGTGGGTTTGCCAAAGGGGGTCTGTTTGGGGGGCCTTGGCATGGGAACCCCTGCTCTAGACCATGAGTACTGCTTCCATTGACTTTATTTATTTACTGCACCAAGAAAATGAAAGAAAGAAGAAAAAACTTTACACTTGATTGGACCTTGTCGTGCATTAACCTGACAGTTTAAACCAGCTCATGAATGAGTGGCAAGAGTTTAGCTGCACTCCTGGTCATGCTTACAACTGAGACGGAAATTGGTTTGCGGTTTCAGGGGTGTGGCTTGCCTTCCTCACTTGTCTTCATTTCCTCTTTACTCCAGTTTCAGAATATGTCTTTCACACAAGTGTAGCCCTAACACCCACGTACCTTTCAGTGTGGACTGTGAATACAGTACAGTCATGACTGTTCCACTGCTGCCTGCAGCTCACCAGCCGCACCCAGCTTGGTAATTACTATGGGATTTGTGTCACAGAAGTTGTGGTGCAAAGGCAAACAGCCATTATTAGCTTAGTTTATTTATCTACAAGACGACAGGAGACAGGAAACACCTACTCTGAGCTGCAGTTCACACCGTTCAGTCGAGTGGCTTCTCATTGTACCAGTGACAAGTTGAGACACTTGTCTGTCTGCGACTTCACTAACCCGGTGTCATCTGTTAATAATGAACTCACACCAAGCTCAGTTCATAAAGAGACACAGAAGTGGCTGTGAATGGTTTTAGATTTTATGTCCTGTTGAGATTTATGTCCCTGAAGGTCACAGTAAAGTCTGTGAAGTTCCACTTCTCTGTCCGAACGGTTGGAACTGCAGGTGTTTCAGGTTAAAACTGCCTCGAGATTTTTGCTTTACTGCAGCGGGTAAAAAAAAAAAGTTCAAAATGGAGGGTTGTTCAAGGTGCACCTCTTGGCAGTATTCCAAGCCACATTCCATTCATATCAACAGCTGAAGGCCAGCGGCTGTGGTGAACATGAAGAATGAAGAGAAAATTGTGACAAAGCGTGAGAAGTAGAAGCAACGTTTAACCAACTTCTATTCACACCGATGCAAGTGTTTTTCTTTTTGTCACCATCTCTTCCAATACTAAGT